GGTTTTTTTGGGGTTTTTTTGGTACCAGGGATTGAACTCAGGACCTTGTGTTTGTGAGGCAGGTGACAGAACCACTAAGCTAAATCCCTGGCTCTTGCTGTTTTTATAGGTATACAAAATTCAAGGGTTGTAGGGTCAGGGAAGCTTCCAGCCAGATTTCAAAAGATAGCCTGGGAGGCCAAGCAGTGTGCCCCTGAATGTGAAGCTGTGACAGTGAAACTGAAAGTGGAGAGGAGATTCCATGAAGGTGGAGAATAAAAGAATGTGGAACTCCTGTGGAAGGCCAAAGACAGTAAGCAAAGCCACCCCAAGAGAGAGGCTCTGAGGACTGCAACTGGCAACATTGTAGGGGTTGAGTCACCTAAGCCCTTTGCAGTTCACATCTCATCTGTTGCCACAACTTGCCCTTGGTGCTGGACACAGAACTAAGGATTTAAATGTTTGCCTGCTGGATTTTTTTTTTTTTTTTTTTTTTTTTTTTTTGTACCAGGGATGGAACTCAGGACCCTGTGCTTGCAAGACAGGTGCAGTGCTGCTGAGCTAAATCCCTGGCCCCTGGCCCTGTTGGATTTTGAACTTGGTTTGGTCTCATTCCTTTCTGCCCCCCACTTCTCTTTTGGAATGGAAATGTTCACTCTGTGGCATTATACATCAGCAGTGTTTAACTTTCTTCTAGATTTTTACAGGGGTTCACACCTAAGAGTTTGCCTTGAGTCTCAGAGGAGACTTTGGGTTTGAATTTTCAGACATTTGGGAACTGTTAAGACTTTGGCAACTCTTAGAGATAAACTAAGTGTATTTTGCATAAAGAGATTCAAGTGAGTCTTTTAGAGTCCAGGGGCAGAATGTTGTGTTTAGGTTGAGAATACTCCTTAAAGGATTTGAGGATTTTGACAGGAGGGAGGGATGTGACATCAGGAGTCTGCTATTCAGCTTTGTGGCCTTGGTCAAGTGACACAACCTCTCTGTGCTCCCAGTTTCTTCATGAAGTAAAATAGGGATAGTGACTGCACCCATCTCACCCCACAGGGTTTCATGATTATCACAATGATGTATGCAAAGTGCCTAAAACTGTGCCTGCCTCATAGTTGGCACTTTGTATTTGGTGTGATTAGTCATTAATCCTCTCTTGTCCAGACTGGTTTCTGGGTCCTCTGTTTTAGTTTTACCCTTCTCCCATGGGGCTGAGGAGACTGGTGGCCAGAATCCCTGGCTCAAGAGAGGACCTATGGCAACTGCCTCATGAATTGGATCTACTCTAAGAAGGAAGACCTTCTGGCCACCATCTCAACTAGTAATGGACATAGACTCTGGGTTAAGAGTACTAGACTATGGCTGCCAACCCTCCCAAGATCCCTGTCCCCACCCAAACCCCCATCCTGCACTCCAGCCTCCCACCAGTGATGAGGGGCTGGCCAGGGAGTAAAGGGCCGATACCTGAGAAACTGAGGGCTGAAGGTGCTACATCTGGGGCAGAAAGGAAGGGTTCTCATGCCCAAGGGAACCTAGGGAACTGAAGACTTCCTGGGTAGCCAGGTAGGGGGAGCAGCTGGGCAGGTTCTCTCTCTGCACTAATGACAACCACTCATCCCTGAGTGTCAGGGGGCCCACAGCTGTACATGAGAGTGACCACAGCCCACGCCCATGCCTGCTCAGGGTCAGCTTAGTCCTCACATCCTCCATACCTCCACAGGACTAGGGAGACAGGAGTCAATTCTTGTTTGATGGAAGAAACAACTCAAGGGTGGGAAGAGAAGAAGGAGCCAGAAAAAGCAGGGTTCAAATCTCTGCTGCTTCCTCCAAGCTATGTAGCCTTGGGGAAGGCACTGATCTTCTTTGAGCCTCCACTTGCTTGCTAGTGAAATGGGTTGCCCAGAGCATGCCTTTTTGGGGTAATGTTGGGTGCAGAGAGCGACTGCATTCAAAGGGTGGCATGGTGGCACCTACCCAAAGCCTCAAGAACCTGGGAAGAGCTTTCTCCAAGTCTCTCACAGACTCCATCTCTCTGGCACCTCCCAAACTACTCAAGCCTCAGCTTATCCCACCAGGGGTAGGACTAGACAGAGCACCCCCAGCCTCACCGGAGGGGTCCAGCCCCCACCCCCTAGGGCTCTTGCCTCCCTCCCTCATCTCTTCCTTCCTTTCCACCCAACTACTATAGGGAAGATTCTGGAATGCATAGAATACAGGCCACAACCAGTGAGAGGGACCCTGGGCCTGGCACCCCACACCTGCAGGGCCGCCTGCTGGGAAGAAGTGTCCCAGTACCTCCTGTTTCCCAGCCCGATCTGAGCCTGCTGCTGGTCCCCGAATTACCACATGAATGGGCACAAGCCCATCCACTCGAGCCAACCATTTGGCCAGCAAATTGACATAATTAGGAGGGAGCAGAGAGAGAAGAAAGTGCCCCCAACCCCACAGCCCCCCAGCAGGCGGCTCCCGCAGAGTCCCACTGGGGCTTTGTGGGCCGGTGCTCAGGGCTGATTAAAACCTTGGGCCCTTTCAAGAGCCCTAAGTGACTGGTCCCCTTAATCTGATTACGATGTGCAGAACCCCTCCAGCCGCCTCTGAAGGACAGCCTCAAGTACCCTGCTCACTGCAATACACACACACACACACACACACACACACACACACACAGAGACATGTGCACGCATGCACACATGCACGGCACCCACTTGGGTCTGCCCAGTGGGGGCAGGGAGAGGATATCTGCCACCTCTCCTTTAGTCAGGGACCTCATCCAGTCATCTGGTCATCTGGTCGTCTTAAAGCCCAATCCCAGACCCCAAACTTCAGACACTTGAGGGGCTGCCCCTGCCCCAACTCTGGGCATCTTCCACAGGCCCAGTACCCAGGCCAGGGGCATCTGTGCCTGGGCACTCTTATGGGCACACCTGCCCAACACTCAGCCTTCTCAGGTGGCCGCTTGGGTGGCCAGGAGCAGGCTGCCCAACCCCATCCAGGGCGGCCCTCTCTTCACAGCAGCTGTGCTTCTAGGGTTCCCGGGGGATTAGGCCCAGCAGGCAGCCTGGACACAGGCTCCGTGCCCTGCCTGGGAACCAGCTCAGCCCTCACGTCCAATTTGGACCTCTTAATCCCCACTGCCCGGCCACAATGGCTCCTTCCCCCTCCTTGCTCCTGGCTCTCAGCACCCCAGCATGGCCCCCACCCCAGTGGAGCTGCCCCCAGGCAGCAGCTCAGGGTGGGCGGAGCAGCTGAGGACAGGCAGGAGGGGACAGAGAGGGGGCTCTGTCCCAGTAGCTAAGCATCTCCTCCCCAGAGCATGCGTAAGGGGGTGGGGGACTTGTGTGGAGCCCTAGAGAGTGACCCCCAGCCTGCGGTGCCCCTCACCTGGGCGGTACCCCAGCCTGGGGCCATGGAGAGGAAAAGCCCACCCTCATCCCCGGCCACCCCAGAGAGCTCCCTCTCCAGCCTGAGGCTGGGGCCAGGGCCCGGGGAGCAGAGAACAGAGAGCCAGGTCCAGTGCCCTGGGCCCAGTTCTCACCCCTGTTCCACCTTCCATGGCAGCCGAGACCTTGGATAGGGGGTTAGCTTCTTTGGGCCTCAGTTTCCCCACCTTACAACTAAGATGCTACATCCTCTTTCTGTCACTCAGAGTTGCCAGAAGGTTCAATGACAGAGGTCAAGCGAGGCCCCCAACACACAGCCAGGGCTCAGGACCAAGCTGTCACCAGTCCCGTGTCAGGGCAAGGAGGAGCCTGGTGCATAGTCAGATACACAGATGGCTCAGGCTCTGGGACGACTGCCTATGCTCACAGGCCTGGTGGGGAGACACCCTCCCAATGTGCAGGTTCCCAGTGAGGGGCTCCAGGACAAGCCCCCTGATGCCAGCTCTGAGGCCTCTTGCCTGCCCACATGACTGGGACTGGGCTGGGGGGGCATGGGCCTCTTTCCAGGACCCTGATCCTCAGTGCCCTCCAGAGCACCTGCCCCAACCCAGGAGGGCCACCCCTGGGGCCCTCAGAGCCTGTCCTCAGTGGGGTCCTTGCGCCCTCCCTGGTCACAGGAGGTGCTAGGGGCGGCGCCTGCATCAGCTGGCATCAAAGCACTGCACCTTCCCGGCCACACCACCCCCCACTGTGTCACATACACCTCCCCCTTTGTCACAATGTTTTTCACTCCCATAAAGCAAACTGTCCAATTAGAGTTGGGGCCTCGGGCTTCCATCTTCGGGCCTTAATTACCATGCTCCCCTTGGCAGCTGCTGACAAGTCCCAGAAACAGGGAGGAGAGGGGTTTTGTCTTTCCCCAGCATGGAAAACGAGGGGTGGGACAGTGCGGGGACATGAATAGGTTGCATTTCACCCCCTCCTTCTGCCTTCCCTCCACTGGCTCTGGGGAGAGGAATGAGCCTGGCATGTGTGTGTGTGAATTGCAAGGGGGCGGGGAGGGCGGAGATGCAGGCAGGAGAGGAGAGACCTCCCCTCCCTCTCCCCTGTCCCTGCTTCCCAGGAGCCTTTGCTCGGAAGATCTGGATTCTCCTGTTTCTTCTCCAGCCACACATGGCAGAGTTCAGGGTGGAACTGTGTGTCGGGTCCATCCCCCTCTAGAAGTTCGTCCCTGAGGGCAGGAACTGGCTGTGACTCGGCCCAGGCTGCTTCTGGGTCCAGGGATTCCAGACTCCTGAAAGCGTCCCTTGCTATGCAGGGACAGCAGGGGTGGCTTGGTGGAGGAAAAGCAGCGAAAGGGCCCTCTCTCGCTCCAGACTACCCTGCAGGAGTGCCCAGAGCAGCCCTGCTGGACAGGGTGGCAGGGTGGCAACTGGCTCAAGGGCATTTTTGGAATAGCTGCTGTGCTGAAGAAGGGTCCTCGAGGGAATACCCCAGCCTGAAGCTGAGTGCTCTGGTGCCCTTTAGTATGGGACAAATCCCCAGTGTGGTAGCCCCTTGGTTGAGGGTCAGGGCTGGGGCAGGAGGCTGGGTCTCTTGGGTTCATTTCTCCCTCAAACTGGCCCTGTGGAGTATCCACACCCATTCTACAAAGAACAAGAATGTTTATTCAGGGAGGCTACCTACCTGGTGGCACAGAGAAGTCTTGGGGACCCAGGAGCTCTGAGGGGCTGATTTTGATGGGGGGGGGCGCTGCCCAGCGGGTGGCAGCTGGCTGCTGAGTTGCCTCCTGGAAGGGTCAGGCCCAGCCCAGGTCCAAACTGCTTCCCTAGCCTGCTTGGCACCAATGTGGCCACCAAGACCCAAGATGGGAGCAGACTTTCTGCAGCAGGACCCCCACTTTGAGGGGACTCCCCCTCCTCTGTCCTCAGGGCTGAAGAGGGATGGGGTGGGAGAGGCCCCCTGGGTCTGGGCCAGCAATCAGCAATCGGGTACTGCTAGTTTGCTCCTGAGTCCCCAGGTCCTTCCAGAACCCCAACAGTCTGTGGAGCCTGCAGGGAGAGAGCCAAGAATGGGGTCCCTGCCAGGCCTGCATGGCCCTTTGTGTACCTTCTTGTTTTGTGGATGGGGCAGCCACTAGATGCAGTGGGTTACAGGCTCCCTTTTGTCATTCCAGCTTTGGGGGTCTTATTTGTTTGTTTTTTGCTTTTGTTTCTAAGGAAGGGTCTGGCCACGCTGCCCAAGCTGGTCTCAAACTCTTGGGCTCAAGAGACCCTCCTGCCTCAGCCTCCTCAGTGGTGGAACTACAAGCATGTGCCACTGTGCATAGCTGCAAGCTTTCCCGTTCCTAGAGCCCCAGCATCCTCTCTTGTCATGTCACTTAGCTGTTGGTCCCCACCCAGCTCTCTCCACGCCCTGTCCTCCAAGGAGCAAAGACCACAGAGCCAAGTGCACCCGAGGCCCCTTTGGCACATTCAGCCCGCCCAGCCTGCCCCCCCCATCCCACACAGGACGTGGAAGTGCACATCCTCATCTCTTCCTGCTTGCTTTCTGTCTTTTGCACTGATTCAGAGGGCAGAGTCCTCACTGGGAGGACCGGCTATTGTCCTGAGGGACAAGCCAGGCCCAGGCTGAGCTTCTCACCTGCCGGGGGGATTAGGGTACCAAGACTGCTGAGAGGGCAGGTGCTCCCGAGGGTATCAGGAGGGCCGGGGGCTTGAGGGTGGGGTCCTCAGTGACGTGGCCAGCGCTGTTCTCTTCAGGCACCTGTGGAAAGAGGGGGCAATTCCAAGGACCCGGTCCTGGGCTGTATTCCAGGCCCCGCAATGTCTCTGGTAGAGCCAGAACCACCCGACCAAGCCCGGAGCCACAAATGGTGGGAAGCGAGCGCCACCTTGTGGTCTACATGCAGATCGCAGCCACGAGCAGCACTGCTCTGATTCCTGCCCCTACTTCCCCAGGGGCAAAGCAAGGACCAGACAGAGTCCTTGCCCAACAAGGTCAGGGGCGAGACGTTCAAGCGAAACAATGACTTGTGATTGCACACGCCTTATCAGCAAGCCTGAAGGATTCTGGAAGGTTGTGCTGAACCCATTTTTGAAAGATAAGTAGGGCAGGTGAGAAGCAGTTGCCGGGCAGCTACAGACAGATCCTAAAGTAGGGTGAGGGTGGGGCTGGAGCTGGGGTGCAGAGGTGCCTGGAAGTGGACTGGGAGGTGGAGTGAGGTGCGGTAGATTCGCCCTGCCACGGCCTCCTCACAGACCACCTCTTTCTTGCCCTGGGGATCCCCTGGCTCACTCCATCTTCTGGGGAGCCACCTCAGCCTCCAGGTATGACAGCCTCAGGGACTGTCCAGTGGCTTTCTCTTCTACCGATGCAGAATTTCTGTATTCCCTGCCAAGTACTGCTGAAGGTGTGCAGCTGAGAGAAGGTGTGAACTTGGAACAAATTAGCGAGATCAAAACAAACAGGAGGGAACGTCTACATAGACACTGGTAACATCTCTGGTTCATTTCATGAGCATCAAACCCATGTGGTTTCTAATTGTGGTGTCTCAAACAGTTTACCGTCTGACGTTAAAGATAGGATGGAAAGAATTTGTGCTGAGGAAAAAAAGCAAGTTTATTAAGAATGTAATAACAGAGCTGGGGGTTTAGCCCAGTGGTTCTGGTGCCTACCTCACAAGCGCCAGATCCCGAAAGTTCGATCCCTGGTACCCCTCCCCGCCAAAAAAAGAATTGGGGCTGGGGATTTAGCTCAGTGGTTACGCCACTTGCTGTGCAAGCTCAAGGACCCGAGTTCGATCCCCAGCACACACACACAAAAAAGAATGTAATAACAGAACAGTTCTTACACTAGAGAGATAAAGAAAGAAAGAGCAGGATACTAAATTGGGCAGATAATATGATCTCAACTGTGTAAGAAAAATCTATGCAGAGGTTAAAAAAAAAAACAATGACAGGAAATATACCAAAAAAAAAAAAAAAAAGATTAACAGTGCTTAAATTAGGGTAATGGGGGCCAGGGATTTAGCTCAGTGGTTCCAGCACCTGTGTCGCAAGTGCAAGGTCCCAAGTTCCATCTCTGGTACAAGAAAAACAAACCAAGATACTCATGTAATGGTACAAGATCCCAATGGTGAATGTAACTGTATTTTATACTGAAAATGTACCAATAAACTTAATGGGAAAAAAAAGAATTAATAGCAAAAAAAAAATTAGGGTAATGGGTTTTTTTCAGTGCTTGGGACTGAACCCAAGACTTCACACTTTGTGCTCTACCACTGAGCCCCCAGCCCCTAGTGATGGGATTTCTTTATATTTTTCTCTAGATCCAGATTTTCTATAATAAGCTTCTTGTCATTTTTAATTAAAAAAACAGAAACTAGGGGGGTGTAGCTTAGTAGTAGGGTGGTTGCCTACCATTCAGGAGGGACGGAGCTCCATCCCCAGCATGGCCAAAACAAAACAAAACAACAACAGAGCAGCAACAAAAAAACCCCAAAACAAAAACCCCAAAAACAAATTTGAAGTTAATGTAAGACTTAGCATATACATGAAATTATATGAATTATATAAGCTATATTTAAGTTAGGTGTGAATTATAGTGGATATTAGTTTGAAGGACCCTGAAAACTTTTGATATGCTTGTGAAAATACAGAGGCAGGGGGCCAGGGATTTAGCTCAGTGGTTCCAGCACCTGCCTTGAAAGCAAGTGCAAGGTCCCAAGTTCTATCCCTAGTACCAAAAAAAGAAAAAGAAAGAAAGAAAGAAAAATACAGATGCAGAGCCAAGTGTGGTGGCACATGCATGTAATCCCAGCACTTGGGAGGCTGAGGCAGGAGGATTGCTGTGAGTTCAAAGCCAGCCTGGGCCACATAGTGAATTCAAAACCATCCTGAACTACAGTGAGACTCTGTCTCAAAAAACTAAACAACAAACAAACAAAAACAGGCAAATGCAGTGATGTCCTTCCTTCTGGGGGCCACAGAGACAGGCTGGTCCTCATCCCCATCTTGAGGGACCAGGGAGGAGGCAGGGGGCTCCACCTCACCCCTCCTGCCCCCAGTACAGCCGGGCCGAGCATCCACAGGAGTGGCTTCTGGAAGAGATGCCTGCCTGTGGCCACAAACACCTGAGGGAGGTGCACTTTTAAAGAAACTAAGTCAAAAATAGTCCACCATTTTCAGTTTCTAGGTGCTTTAGCAGTGGAATGTTGAAGAATTCAGTTTCTTACCCAAATCACCATGGAGTGCATTCACACGCAAAATCCCAGGCCCTACAGAGTTCAGTAGATTTCTGGGGCTGGTGCCCGGGAGGTGGCATTTCTGCAGGTCTCCAGGGGGCCCTTAGGGGGACTGAGGTCAAGCACTGAACTGTGCACACCCTGAACATCAGTATCGCCTAGCAAGCTTTTAAAAAGTCCCAAAGTCTGGGCCCCAACCAGACCAGTTCAAGCCAAGTCTCTGAGGCTTTGGAAGCTGCCAGGCAGGTATGATGTGCACATGAGGGCTGAGACCCCTGCTCTGGTGTGGATCTTCTTGGGTTTCCCACTGGTCACCCGTTCTGGGCTGGGACATGAGTATTTGCATTTCTAACAAGTTCTGGGTGCTACATAGATTTCAGGGGATACTCCAGTCACAGCCCTGACCGTAGGCTTCTTCTGGGACCCTGAAGGGTGTGTAGAAAGAGAGGTCCTCCTGGGTGTGAGGGTGCACCCCATAATCCCAGCATTCTGGGAGGGCTAAGGCAGGAGGATTGCCAAGTTCAAGGCCAGCCCAGGAAACCTGATGACTTAGAGAAACCCATTCTCAAAATAAAAATTTCCAAAAATAGAGAAAAAGAAAAGAAAAGAAAAGAAAAGCACACGCAAACCCCTCCAATCCTGAGGTGGGAAGGGAGAGAGAAGGGAATCTTCAACCTGCAGGAGCCGCTGCCCCCCCCCCCCCGCCGAGGAATAGGGTGACAGGCAGATTCAGCCTCGGGGTGCAGCTGCTCTTGGGGGTCCATAAAACTCACCTCCCAGTAGACCTCATCCTCAAAGCAGTTCTCATCAGCTGCCTGTCCCCAGAATGGTAGTCTCAAAATGAGCCCTGAAGAGAGTTGGAAGCCCCAGGAGCTCAGGAGATGCCTCCTCTCCATCTGCTCCAGCCCTTTCCCTCAGCTGGGACCCACCAGGCTCCCCTTGGACAGCTCAGGGTGCCCCCTCGCTCACCCACGATGATGCCGCCCATCAGGGCCATGGCCAAGCTCAGGAGGAGGCCAAACACCTGGAACTTGCCCTGAGTTCTCGAGGTCTGGACATCCTTTGAAAACCTGGGGTAGAGGCAGGACAGGGCCCCACAGAGAGGATGAGTCACCCCTGCCTGCCACCCTGCAAATGCTCATGGGCACGTTGGCCTGGGGAAGACTGGGGCACTTGACAGCTGGTGTCCACGTCTTGCGGAGGGAATGAGATTGGGAGAGAGACAGCATGAGATCCCAGCAGGCCAGCAAGAAGGAGGGATGGGGAAAGAAGGAGGACACCCCACCTCCCTGCACCTCCACTGCACTTACCCTGGCTGTGCATATATATCAGGGCTGGCGAAGGCCACTGTCACAGCACCCACAATGCCGCCCAGGACGCCAGGGATGCCGTGCAGGTTGTGAATGCCACATGTGTCCTGGATACGCAGCCGGGACTCCAGGAATGGCTGAGGGGGAGGGGCTGCTCAGGCTGGGGCTGCAGCAGGGACCCAGGATCCCCCCATCCCTTAGCATCTCCCGGGGTTACCATGCTCCTGCCAGTCCCTCTCCAGCCCCAGCCCATTGCCTGAGGCCCTCACCGTCAGGAACACGAAACCCAGGGTGGAGATGGAGCCGCAGAAGAAGCCCACAATGAGGGCACCATAGGGCATGAGCATCATTTCGGCTGCAGTGCCCACGCCCACCCCTCCGGCCAGCGTGGCATTCTGGATGTGCACCTGGGTGTGGGCAGAGGGGGTATGCTCGGTCCTCTCCCTAGAGCACCAGCCTATGCCCACATGGTGGCTCAGAGTCTACACCTGCATGTTCCCTTTCTGTATGCCATGGGTACCCGTGTGCCCCACCTGTGCGTCTGGACACACTTGTTCACACCAGGTGCTGGTGAAACCAGAGCTCCTGTCCCAGTTCTGCTCTGCGGGGGGCTGTGGGTGCACAGCCTGTTCCCTCTGGTGCCCAAGTGCCATCTCTGTGTCCAGTGGCAAAAACAGCTGTGCCAAGAGTGTGATGCCAGGACACTATGCAACAATATGCCCCCAATATCACCAGGGAGACAGAAAAGCACAGTGTGTGGACGGGTGAGCAGCCTGAAGGCTGGTAACTGGAGGGGCACTGCAGAGGGGACATGGCCCCAGCGACCCTGTGGGTAGTGGGGAAGAGGAGCATGCGGAACAGGAAGAGAGGGCAGAACAGCCAGCCCATCCTGAGGATCTGGTCTGGGTTCTGCCAGCATCCAGCTATGTGTTCTGCACAAATCATTGTTTCCTGAGCCTCAGTTTCCTCATCTTCAAGATGGGTGCACTACCCAGATGCTGCTGCCTCACAGAGGCTCTGGCAGGCCAAGGCAAAAAGGACCCACCCAGCACAGGTGGCCCAGGGTGCCTCCCCCTGGGCCCCACTTACCATGTCCAGCTTGCCCTTCTTGTGCAGGGCACTGGACAGTGCCACCGAGGTGAGAACGCTGGCTGCCAAGGAGCAGTAGGTATTAATGGCAGCTCGGTGCTGGGCGTCCCCGTGGTAGGACACAGCTGAGTTGAAGCTGGGCCAGTACATCCACAGGAAGAGAGTGCCTGGGTCAGACATACAGGCCAGTGGCTGAAGAGGAAGCATTAGACAACCCCTCCTGGACTCTTCCTGGAAGGCACCTCTGCCTCACCAGCTCCAGGAAGTCTGCCCTGCTCCCATAACGGGGTGAACACCCCTAATATGTCCTACAGCACCATGCCAAGAACCCCTTCCCCACTGCAGGGAGTTATGAGGGTGCAGCCTCCTCCCATGCTGCACTAGGAGGAGACAGCCACAGGGGTGTGGGCAGCAGTGTCTCCGCAGTGAGTGGACCCCCAGAAGTGGGAATGCACGCCAGCCCCAGCCAGGGTGCAGGACAGTTCCTGGTTACCATGGTGTCTGCCTTGAGGAATTCTAGGGAAAATACAGGTGACCAGCTTCTTTCATCCCCATGGAAAAGAGGCAGACAGCTAGGATTCTAGCAGTTTTGGGCCGGGGATTTAGCTCAGTGGTTCCGCCACCTGCCTCGTAAGCAAAAGGTCCTGAGTTTGATCCCCGGTACCAAAAAAAACAAAAATTTAGATCTAGAAGTGTTTACAGACAATATGCCTCTGCCCTGCCCCAACAAAGAACTGGCAGCTGTGTGGGGGCAACTGTGTGGGGATCAGACATGGAGATCATGGCCACCCTCACCCATCACAGTGGTCCCCACTCACCATGGGAGTCCCCATTCACCATGGCAACCCAACCATCATGGTGACCCTCACCCATCATGGTGGCCCTCACTCATCATGGCACCCCTCATCCACGATGGCCCCCATCCATCATGGCGGCCCCCACCCATCACGGCAGCCTTCAGTCATTACGGTGGCCCTCACCAATCATGGCGAAGAGGTCCGAGTGGTACACAGAACTCTGCCTCTGCTTGCTCTGCTCTAGGTTGTGTCGGTAGAGGATATAGGTTACTGTGAGCCCAAAGTAGGCGCCAAATGTGTGGATGGTCATGGAGCCCCCTGCATCCTTCACCTGCAGGGCAAGGAGCCTGTTGGGGTCTGGTGCCTTCTCTCCTCCCTCCTCACCCACACAGCACACAGACTCCTCAGGCTGCAGGGTGGAGCTCAGCCAACTGGGAGGGGCAAGGTGGGGGTCCTAGAAGCCAGGCTGTAAACTGCTGGCAAAATGCCCAGGCACCTCATCCAGCAATTGGAATGTTCCAGATGGGGAAGTCAGGCTCGGAGGGGACCAGCTCAGCCACAGGCTGAGAGAATTAGAACCCAAGGCAGCCCCATCTCGTGCCATCCATTCACTTCCTTTCACACAACTAACCCAAGGCCGCCCTGCCCAGACGGGCAATGCCCACGCAGCCCCCGTCTCCTACTCTCTAGTCTCCCGGGTAACCTGCTGTACCCCCTCCCCATCCCCACTGCCACCTAGGATTTACCCTATGTGAAATTAAAAACCACGGCTGGGTTGTAATCAGGGGAATGGTCCACTCTGGCTGCTGGCAGAGATTGGCCTGATGGGCAAGCGGACAGAGCCAGGGGACAAGTCAGGGAGAAGAGAAATGGTGGCTGGGACTCATCTGGTGGCTGAAAAAGTGGCAAAATGAATGACTGAATTTAGAGTGGCCTGACTCTCCCTATTAGGTGGGCACTGTTCCAGACAGAGCCCCAATATAGAAGAGGAGAGGGCTAAAAACTGCAGGGAGTCCCTCAGTGGCACCTCTTACCTAGAATTCAGAATTGGCCAGCCCCAGAGGGCAGCGTCTCTGCCACAGTCCTTGTGAATGGCGTCTCTGAGGTTGTGTAACGGCATGCCCTGTGCAGCTGTCCCTGGCTATCCCTGGGATCCTTCCTTACAGATTTGCCCCCTCAATACACTAGGTCCTTTGCTTGGCAGAACAATCTTGGGATATGGTGTGCATGCAAGAGTAAGTATAGGAATGTCCCCTCCTTCCATGTGACATGCAAGAAAGAGAAAGGAGAGGGAAAAGCAGCAGTCCAGGGTTGCCTGCTATGTCCAGGCCCGGGGCTGAGGTGCTGTGGCAGCTGCCTAGGAGACATCATGACTCCCACTTAGAGACAAGGAAGCCGAGGGTCAGGAGGATAAGGGACTTGGCAGGCTGGTGTGTCCTCCCCCCCACCGTGTCCCCTCGGCCACCTGCATCCCGAGCCCTGCTCACCTCTAGTATGTTGAGGAGAATGTACTCATTCACTGTGAACAGCGTCACTTGGAACAAGGTCATGATGAGCAGCTGGATTGGGCTGACTTTGCCCAGCACAGCTCCAAAGGCCACACAGACAGAGGCCACGCAAAAGTCAGCATTGATGAGGCTATGGAAGGACAGACAGGCTGGGCAAGGGGCTGGGACAACAGCAGCAAGTGACATGCCAACCCTGGGCTTGAGTCTGGATTTTGGCCGTCTGTGGGGTTTGGGCTTGTGGCTTAACATCTCGGATCCTCAGTTTCACCATCTGGGACAATGGACCCACAGCAGTTAGGGCCACATGGGTGAAGTGCCAGGCACGAGAAGCCACCTCAGAGACAGTTTGTGCTCAGGCTGCAGGGACCGGTTGCTCTATCGTGTGCCTGTCATGGGGCCCCACCCTTCCAGCAGCTCCACTTGCTGCCTTCTCTTCCAGGAAGTCTCCGTTTCCTCCAGCCAGGAGTGCTCTCTGCTCCAGGTGCTCAGCACCGGCCCCATGCACACCTCCCACTGGCTCCAGGGCCTTGCTAGAGTTCAAGCCATGGGGACCGTCCCTTGCCCTTACCCATGACAGAGGATCGGTGTCTAGGGAACAGGAAGAGATGCTTTCCTGCAGGAAGGTGGGATGAGGGGTGGCATAGGTGGAAGGAGGGAACAGGCACACAGGCCTCCCTCCATAGGGACCCCGCAAGCCCAGCCAGCCCAGCAGAGAGCTGGTGGGAGGCAGATGGAAAGATGGGCAGTCAGGCAGACTTTTGGTGGCCAAAGTACACCTTGGTTCCATCCATGTGTCTACTTTCCCCTGTGCAGGCCCCCTCGTCCCCTGCCAGGGGCAAAGCTGTCCTTCTTGATTCCAAAAAACAGACCCTACATGACACCATAAGGGTTGTTCATAGGACAGCTGTTGGGACAGAAGGGGCTGCTTCAGAGAGGTAGCTGCATCTGAGGACACCCCCACCTCGTGCTGGGGTGTGAGGCAGGGACAACAGACTGAGGGGCCAGCTCACTCTAAGGCCAGTGTGGAAGGGGGCAGCAACCCTCCTGGGCCAGAGGACACTCACTGGGACATCTACTCCACCACCTGCCTGTGTCCCCAAGGCCTGGCCAAATGATCAAGCACAGGAGGCACATTAGCCACATCACCTGGATGGAAAGGGGAGGCTCACAGAGGCCGACACAGTGGCCTTGAGTCCCCTGAATGCAGCCATCTGATGTAAGTGACCATTAGGAAGGAGCAAGAGATGAGCAAAAGCCAAGCCTGACACCCTCTGCAGCTTCAAGGTGAAAATGGGGATGCCACACCTCAGGGGCCTCTAGAGTGACACTGGGTCCTGGACCATGCAGCTGGGTCAGACCACTATCCCAGAAGGAGGCCCACATCTCAGGTCCACAGGTCAGCCATGGGGACGGCTTGCTTGCGCCAGCCACAGGCACCAGAGAAGGGTTCCAGGTCAGTGTGGAAAATTGGGTCCACACAAGACATTTTGCCAAAACTCAATTTCTCAAATGACCTGCTTGCTGAATAACTGGTTCTCCAAAAACCTGTTAACTCAAAGTTTGTAGTAATTCCCTTTGAAGGGTTTTAAAAAATTGTATACTTTCCCCCATGTTCTCCCTAATACGTGCAATCTGAAAAGGATAGCATGAAAGTGAAGGGAGACAATTATTAGGCAAGAGGAAGGAAAGAGGGGGCGAGGAGTGTGAGGGAGGGTAATGGAGAAGGATATGACCCAAGTATACTCACCAAAGCCCAATATTCTGTAAGATTAATAGATGCTAATAAAAGGATGGGCAGCCAGAGCTCAAGTGGCACCATAAGGGTTGTTCATGGGATGGCTGTTGGGACAGAATGGGCTGCTTCGCAGAGGCTGTCGCACCTGAGGACACCCCCACCTCATGCTGAGGTGTGAGAGAGGGACAAGCTTGCAGCCACAGTTACGTTGCTGCACTGGCCAGTTAAATATATTAATATTAAAATTATATTTTTCACACTTTGGGTCACTGGTACTGGGAATGAGAATTCCCACTGTAGTTTGGACTTCAGAGTGATATGCATGCCAAGGATTTTTTATGTACAAAAGGACTGATTTGTTGGTTCCAATGCCTATTCTAGATTAGCCAATACTGTATGTTTCCTGTTTCTCTTAACGCATGGATTAGTTAACTGGGTTGAGTGAATCAATTTACAAATGTCTGGCAGGTGTTTTAAATTTCAGACACCCAGGCTATGATACCTATCGGTGCCCTATATATGAGAGCAGGGAATTGCCCTTTATATGGGGTTTCATACAGCTTGCCTCTCAGCCTTTCTGTGGATTTAGTCTGGAGAAGGCTAATGAGTATTGATTTTTCAAGCCAGTGATGATTTTCTCAAGTTAAAATGTTTGGGGGGAGATTGAAGCTAGGGTCTTGGTGCATACGGGGCAAGTGGTCTACCATCGAGCCACATCCTCAGCCCTTTTTATTTTATTTTGAAATAGAATCTGTCTAAGTTGCTCAGGCTGGTCTCAAACTTGTGATCCTCCTTCCTCAGCCTCCAGAGTAGCTGGGATTACAAGTGTACATCACTGCACCTGGCATGAACATTTTTTTCTTTACTCAAACTTGTGATATCTCTGCATAAAAAGGCCAGCTAAACAGAACTCAAAAAACAACCTCCAATAAACTAAATTGTGTCTAAAACTGGGGAACTCTCCTGCAGGCTCTTGACTAGGTCCCAGGCGACATAAACTGCTGTAGGTTTTGTAGTGTGCCATAGCACAGAGAGTCTGGAGAGGACTGCTTTGCCCGCTGGGTCCTGGCATGTTGGCTTGGGGTGAATTTATTTGGAACCTGTGGAGGTAGGTGCCTCAGGAGAGGCCTGGAGGAGGTCGCCTCAGAGCAAAGGAAGGGACTGAGTTACCTGAGGGCAGGGGCTGGCGGTGCTCATCAGACAGAAGAGCTGTCACAGAGGTAGGTCTCTCGGAAGGACGGAGGTGGGAAGAGATGAGGACAAGGTGGCCAACGCTTGGAGGCTGAGGCAGGGGGCTTCAGCTCTCACCCTGCACACCCATCGAGCCTACAACTCTTTCCAATGCCTGCCCCTTTTGGGGAGGGGCAATGCAGGGAGAAGCACCTGGTTTGGCTGGATTCTCCCTACAGGGACCCTCCCACAAGCAGCCTTTGGGGCCCCCGCAAGCTCCTGCCCTCAGGACAGAGGGCCTGGGCCTTTCTCCTTTGGAGAAGTCTGGCCTCAAGTCTCTGCAGACCTGGATGCCATTGGAATCCCTGCCCTGGAAAGAGCTGATGAGAAAGCAGAGTGTGCGTGTGTGTGCGCGCCCGCGCGCGTGTGCTGGTGTCTGTCACAGGTCTCCCGTGTGACCCGGAAAAAGAGCCGCCTCAGGGTCTAAACTCCGGCCCCGCCCCACTCACTGGGCCCCGCCCAATGTCCGCTCGGTCCCGCCCAACAACTGGGCCGGTCCCCACCACGGGTTAGTCCAGTGCCCCGCCCCCTATCCTGCTCCCCCAATGCACAGCCTCACTTTACCCTGGCCCCTCCCAGTTCCTCCCGCCTAGGCTCCGCCCCCACCGAGCCCCGGCCCAGCTCACTTCTCGATGCCCAGGAGGATGTAGCGGCCCTGTAAATCCAGGTGGTGGAACCAGCCCTGCATGAGCAGCGCCCACTGGATGCCGAAGGCCGCCAGCAGGAAGTTGAAGCCCAAGGCCCCAAACCCGTAGCGCTGCAGGAAGGTCATGAGGAAGCCGAAGCCCACGAAGACCATGACGTGCACGTCCTGGAAGCCTGCGGGGAGAGCGCGGCAGGGTTTCGGCGACCGGCCAGGGCCTGCTCATTGCCTTCTGTCTCCCGGCCACTGGCCCGGCCACGCGGACCCCAAGCCCATCTCCCTCTTCCTTCGTCCCGCGTCGAGGCTCAGAGCTGGCCATGGTGACCAGTGGCTCTCCTGCTGGTGGACCGGAGGACTCCGCTTGGACCTGGGCTGGCCCCCCCCCTGGATTAAGTTGGGCCAGGAGATGCCCTTGGGAGATGATGGCTTTCACTCCCACCCTGCAACCCAATGGCTCTGCTGGTGGGCAGCTGGGCATGTGAATTTAGGGACTAGAGCACAGACTATGGGCAAACACCCTATCTGTCCCACCATCCCTCACCTTTGCGGTGGAGAATCAGTCCTCACCTGGCCAGCCGCTCACACCTGTCACCACCACCTACCCTTCCCCCCATCACAAGACTGGAGTTTGGACTCAGCTTCTCCGTCTCCCCAGGGAAGACTTTGGGGACGTTCCCAAACTGGGTGCCGTCTGTTTTGCTGACTTCATGGGTGTTTCGGGGATTCAATGCAGGTGTGTGTGCAAGTCGCCTCACACAGTGTCTACCCATAACGGGATCAAAAGGGGCAGGTGTCATTATTTATTGTCACTCAAGCAGGCCTGGCTCAGAGTTCCGATCCAACTCTTCTGTCAGCTCATGATGTGGCCTGGGCCAGTTACTTCCCCTCAGAGCCGCAGTTCCTCAACAATAAAACTAAAGAGCTAGCTTAGAACGGCCTTAACTGTCCTCCCAGTGCTTGAACTGCACAGCACTAGACACCAAGGAAATGAAAGCAGTCAAAGAGCTTTGTGAAGCGATGAGTCATAGAAGTTTAAAACTCTAAATGGCCTTGCAGGTGTGGTAGGACCCTGGTCAGATTGAAGGGCTCCTACCAGGGATTTAGCTCAGTGGTTCCGCCACCTGCCTTGCAAGTGTAAGGATCCAAGTTCGATCCCTGGTATCAAAAAAACCCCCACAAAAAACAAAAACCTAGTTTGAAGGGCTCCTGCTGGCCACATCTGGTACAAACAGAGCACCAAAACAATTACGTGCTGGGCCGGGGATTTAGCTCAGTGGTTTCACTGCCTGCTGTGCAAGTGCAAGGACCTGAGTTTGATCCTCGGTACAAAAAAAAACCCAACAAAAACACAATCATGTGCTATATTGTATTAAAACCACTTTAAAATTGGAATTCATGAGTCCATACTGATAATAAATGGGTAAGTGAATAGCAGGAGGACTCCTGCTTACAGTAGACTACTGAAATGGAGAAGCCGAGGGTGGTAGCACACACCTGTAATCCAGGAGGCTGAGGCAGGAGGGTCACAGCAAATTCAAGGACAGCCTAGGCTGCATAGTGAGTTCAAGACTAGCCTGAATTACATAGCAAGACCCTGTCTCAAAACAAAAAAACTGGACTAGGGATTTAGCTCAGTGGTTCCGCTGCCTGCCTCACAAGCGCAAGGTCCTAAGTTTGATCCCCAGTACCAAAAAAAAAAAACAAAAAAAAAAACCACACACACAATCTGAAGAAAGTGCTGGGTGTGGTGGTGCCCCCCTATAATCCCAACACTTGTGGGGGGAGGAGGATTGCAAGTTCGAGCCCAGCCTTGGCAACTTAGCAACTTAGAAACCTAGTCTCAAAACAAAATATAAAAATGGCTGGGAATGTAGCTTAGTGTAAAAGCCCTGGGTTCAATTCCCAGTACCACCAAAACAAAAACAACTAAAAACACACACACACAGAGAGAGAGAGAGAGAGAGAGAGAGAAAGAGAGAGAGAGAGGGAAAGAGAGAACACAAAGGGAGAAGAAAACTGTAGAGTTGGAAAATCTGCATGGGGAAATTTTGCTGAGGAGAAGGACACTTGCACTGTCTCAGAAGTTCTCTCAGTAGATTGCTGATTAGTTGCAAGGGAGGAAAAGGAACAATAGTAATCATACAGTGGAGAAATCAGACTGTACCTAACCTGGGTAATCAAGATTGACATGACCAATGAGGACAGGTGAACACTGTGTGCATCCAGATGTGACACCCTGAAAAGGACACTGTCACCTAATATCACCTACATGGTATTCCATCTGCAATGCATAACCCAATCTAATCCTGAGAAAACATCCAACAAACACAAAAGGAGGAACCTACTGATACAGGGGAGCTATAGTCTTGAAAAACATCCATGTCATAAAAGATAAAGGCCTCTGAGATGTTCCATATTAAAAGCTATGATGCCGGGGATGTAGCTCAGTGTCACCGTCCCTGCCTGGCAAGCTCAAGGTCCTGAGTTCAATCCCCAGTACTGGAATAAAGAAAGAAAGAAAGAAAGAAAGAAAGAAAGAAAGAAAGAAAGAAAGAAAGAAAGAAAGAAAGCCAGCCATCCCAAGTAAATGCAATGCCTGACTCTACACTGCAGCCTGTATTTAGCCAGAGGGGGTTTGGGGAGAACTATGAAGGGCATTATTCGGTCAACTGAGAACACTGGGTATCACATCATTGTCGTTTGTGAAGGTGGTTACTGTGGAAGAAAGAATCCCTATCCTTAGGAAATATGCTGGAGTATTTCAGGGCAGAGGGCTGTATGTGTAACTGACCTGCAGAGAGTTCGGGCTTGGGGAGTGTGTGCGTGTGTGTGTGTGCATGCACTTGTGTGTGTGTGTGGCTATGTGGAGTGAGGGAAAGTACAAATAGCTAAGTCTGAGTGAGAGAGTATGTCATGTACTATTTCTGTTTTAACAGCTTTTGTAAAGTTGAAATTATTTCCACATAAAGTTTATAAAGAAAAAGAAAAGGGAACTTCAGGGGCCAGCCAGGCCACCTGCTTCCTCCTCCTCATCGCATCCTCTGCCAGCCTCCCTCTGGGCCTCTGGGCCTCAGTCCCACTCTGAGGTCCTTGCCTGTGGCATTTCCTTCACCCCAGATGCTGTCCCTGCAGAATGGCCAATAAGCTCCTCTCTGAACAAGGGTCAGCAAAACGTCACCTGTACACCCAGTTTCAGGCCGTCTCTCTTGTGGCACCTTCTTTCTCTCATAGCTCGTTACAATTTGAAGTTCTATGTTTAGTTCTTTGCCCAGCCTTGTAGACTATGTAACAGCAGGAAGGCAGGGCCATGCCCACATCACTCATTGTGGTGTCCCCAGTGCCGCAGTGGAGTATGGGTGGGTGACTAATGGCTGTTACTGTTGTCCCTGCAGCACTCAGGCATGCCAGCCGGGCTTTCCAGTCAGGAGGGTCTGCAGCCCTCTTATCCAATGCCTCCCATCCACAGGGCTGACAGGCATGGGTGCCCCTGCAGCTGGGCCAGGGTAGTGGGGGTCAGTGTTCCTGCTGCAACTGCCCTGACCATGTCTGTCCTCATCTGGGTCCCCTCCAGGCCATGACCACAGGCCTCTAGGCTGGCAGCCACCTGGAGAAGGCACAGGGGGCCTGGCACACTGAAAGGTAGGAGGGCAGGCCGATGCCAGAGAGCTAGGGGCCCCTGAGATGTCGCCCCAAGCTTCCCTCAGAGTTCATGAGAGCAGGTTTCTCTGTATACACAGCTGAGTTCACGAATAATCGTGTTTCATGGTTTGTCACGTCTCCAACTGTTGTGAGCGAATGTATGTGAAGCACCATAAAAGGTATTATGGTTATTCTGGGAAAAAGTGAGGGCTGACAGACGGGAAGAGGGCTGTGAAGGAAGGGGAGGTGACACATTCACATGACAACTTTAGAAGCAGGGAGAGGAGCTGAATGGCAGGGTGGCAGGGCTGTTGACAGACACAGGACAAAAGGAGAGGAGGTGGTGTGGTGGCAGGAAGGTGCCAAGTCCCGTCCTGGCCACAGTGAGCCAGAGATGACGTAGGGAGCACCCCTAACCCCACCCAGGTGAAGGGGAGTGTGGGGTCAGAGACCTGGTGAGCCTGGAGTAGGGCTGTGCATTGGCAGCTTGGGAGGCAGAGGGGGCCCCAGGCCAGGGGCTGGCTGTGCCTTGAAGCCAGCAGATAGGCAAGGTGCTGGCAAGGGGTATGAGGAACCTGTGGGGAAAGCCAGCCTCATGGACGGCGGGACCTTTTAAGCAGAGGGCTGCCAGCTGCCTCATGGCATAGAGGAGCCACGTGGGTTGGGGCACAGCTGAAGGTCGCCAAGGGACATCCACAGTATGGGGGTTGCCTTCAGTCTCTGTAGCCGGAAGGGGCTCGGGGGTCGTCGGGGTTCTCACCTTCCTGCCCTTCTTTCCTCTCCCTGTTTCCCAGGGCACCTTGTACCGCTCTGACCCTCTCTGGCGGGGTCTCTTTTTCTCTCTCCTCCCTGGCACAGACACCAGCTTGCCACTCTTCAGCCACCTCTCTTTCTCTTTTTCCCCCAGCCTGGTCCTGATCTGGTGCTAAAACATCTGCTCATTAATCTTTCTGCATAAGATTTGGTGCTACCTAATCCCAGCACTCTGGGAGGCTGAAGTAGAAGGACTGAAGTTCAAGCCTGGGCCACTTAAGAAGACCCTGTCTCAAAATTGAAAAGGGTGGTGTTGTCTGGGGATGTAGCTCAGTGTGAAGGCCTTGCATTCAATCCCCAATGCCAGAAAAATGTTTTTAAAAAATCATTTTAGGGGCCAGGGATTTAGCTCAGTGGTTTTGCTGCCTGCTGCACAAGCACAAGGGCTCGAGTTCGATCCCCGGTACCAAAAAAAAAATCCTTTAGACAGCAATGATGGGAAAGTCCAAAGTGTATGATGTCAGCAAAGGACGCAACCTCTCTGGTCCAGTTTCTTTATTGGTAAATGATGTGGGAACAGTGCTCCACACAACTCTGCCCAGAGGTTTTGGGGCGCACATTTATTGAGAACATCCCATCTGAGCCCGGGCACCGGCCTGGCTCTTTATCAGTTGCTCAATCATGTGAGCTGTTACTTCTCTTTTTCTCTTTCAAGACTGACCAAGTGCAGGGTGCATGCCTATAATCCCAACACTCAGGAAGCTGAGGCAGGAGGATTTTGAGTTCAAGGCCAGCCTGGGGTATATAGCAAGACCTTGCCTCAAAATCAAAAAACAATAAAACAAAAGCCAATCAAATGAAAAGACTGGCCAGGTGCATTGCATTGGGCTGGTGACTTGCTACAGGTGCATGAACTACTCAAGCAGCCCTACCAGAACCCTTCCTCAAACCTGTCCCTGATGCAGTGGTTGGTGGGAAGGCAGGCGCAGGCAATGGCTTCCAGTGCTAGGAGCTGCCACCAGGGGGCACCCGTACACAGGTGTTGTCACACTCCCTCCATTCCCAGCCACTCCTACTCACCACAGGGCAAGATGCCCCTTTTCCCTCCATCCCTGAATCCTCCAGGAACTTGTCTGAGTCTCCCAAGTGAGAGGACAAAGTTTCCCACACGAATAAACCACTGCAGTACCGTCCCCTCTGCTGCCCTGACCAACCCCTGGGGCCAGCCCAGCCTCACCTGTTTGCTGAGAGGCCTCCAAGCCAATCTCCCTATTCCCCCCTCTCCAGATCCACCTCCTCCTGTCCTACACCAGCCCTGCAAAACCTCCTAGGAGCAGGGGATGCTGAGAGGACAGCAAAGTCACAGAAGATTCTGGAAAACAGTTGGCTGTGGGTATGGGGCTTGGCTTAGTCCTACCCTGGGCTACCGACTGACTGAGTGTGCTGGGTCCCTCGTGGAAAGAGTAAATGCCTGGCCAAGCAAGCAAATGGCACTTTGCAAAGGAATTTAAATGCTCTGGTAGTCAAACTATTATCTGGGAGACATTCCCAGCCACATGTCTAGGGGGGTGCTGGGTCTCCATTTAAGCCCTTCTGTCCACAGAGCACACTGGATCCACCTTTACTGTGTGCCACTTTGGGCCATGGATGAGTGCCCTGTGTCTCGAATCCTCTTGCACATCTCATAGCTCACATCACGCTTCTGTTCCACTAAGAGCCAGCGTCGTGGGGTTACCACTCACCCCATCGGGTGGTGGATTCCAAAGTCAACCACTGGGTCTCTGCTCTCTGCTCTGGGAATCAGGTGCTTTATCAGGTGGAACCGAGTCTGAGATGCAGGACCCAGAGCCCCAGGTGACCCCGGCTTCCTGGCCTCCTGAAATAGACCTTCTTTCCTTCAAGTGTTTGAGGCCAGGGCGCCTCTGCCCAGGCTCTCTCCTGAAACATGTCCCACTGTTCCCTTTGTCTTCCCAAAAAACCTCTGAGCCAGCCTCAGGTGGCTGTCCTTGGGCGAACCTCCCTGCAGCTGTAGCCCTTGGCCATTCAGCTTTCTGTTCAGAAGCCAACACACCTCCTTCAGGCCACTGCCAGGGTCCCCAGCTAGCCCTGTGCCTGCTGCCTTGGAACAGTCCTCAGCTGGAGCTGTACTCCCCTGGGAGCTGCAGATGCCCAGCAGGCTCTGAGAATCCCGTGTGACAAATGAGGGGTGTGCAAGTGAGACAGCCCAGACCCATGACCGAGGAAGGTGCCACCAGGGCCTTCCTTCCACCTGCACCCCTGGGAACTACCTATCTGCTCAGGAACCCAGGCTTGGGGACCAGCCAGGCTAGAAAGCCCCATGCCCTCTGTCTCCTAACCACAGCCATGAGGGCTGATGGGGGCGCTGGGGAGAGGGAAGGCTCAGGCTAGAGGTGGGACAGAGACCCAGGAGTGGGCTCGGACCCAGGGCAGCTACCCTGGCTCCTGGCTTCCTTGCTGAGTAGCCTTTGCAAGACTCATCTTCTCTCTAGCTTTACTTTCCTCACCTGTAAAATGGGGGTCCTAATGGTGCCTCCCTTGTGGAGGGAGCACATGCCAGTTGGAGTGGCTGCCATTACAGTATCTCCTGCCTCATCCAAGGAGCCATGAGGCCAGGGTTCCCCTCAACACTCCTCTCCTCGGTCACTTCCTGCTCCCATGGCCTATAGCTCCCCACACTCACAGGGAGGTGGCACAGGAACTCAGGACCTCTTTGATGGTGGGGCTCTCTCCACCTTTTTTGCTGCAGCACTGGGGATTGTACCTACGGCCTTCACACTGTGCTCTATCCCCAGCCATTTATTCATTTATTTGTATTCTGAGACAGAGTCTTGCTAAGTTACCCAGGCTGGGCTTGATCTTCCTGCCTCACCCTCCTGCAGTGCTAGGACTACCGGCATGCACCACTGCACCACCGCACCCAACTTCCCTCATCTAGGGCACATTGAGCATTCATGCTCCCCACCTCCCTACACCCCCCTGTTTTTTTGGTACTGGGGATCGGACTCAGGACCTTGCACTTTCGAGGAAGGAGGTGGAACCACCGAGCTAAATCCCTGACCCTCTACACCCCCTTTTGAGGCCACTCCGCTGCCCTGTGTCTCCCCTCCTCACTGTCCACTACTCCTATGAGACTGTCACAGATCTAGTCTGCCCAGAGCACTGAGCACACCGAGGCCCTGGGTGTTGGGGTGCACCTCTCTGCTCCCAACAAGTCTGGGAGTTTGTGGAGACTCACAATCCAAGATGTTCAACTGTTTGTCCTGGACAGTCACGGTGCCTGCCTGGGTGGACAATCCGCTCCCGGGAAGGGTGGAACCCAGGGTGAGGAGCCCCAGGCAGAGGGTGTGGCCTCCAGCTGACCCCCCCAGTCTCCCTGCTCAGTCCCCCACCAGGACACAAAAGGTTGGCAACATAGAGGACAACCTGGAGCCTGAACCCCAAGGCCACAGCTGTCCAGACTTCTGAAAACGCTGGCCTCAGCGGGCTGGGTCAAGGCTGGGGTCTCACCACCAGGAACACACCTTTCTTCGGTCACCTCCCTTCTGGGCGCCATGTACCTATTAATACGGCCTGTGGCCATCCTGACCTTTGGAAGCCCCTTGCTATGGCTGGCTCCCACTCAGCCGGCACCCCTACCCCAAATTCAGTCTTCATTCTGCAGGCTGCCGAAGTGAATACGGGCAGCTGTTTGGGGACCTAAGTAAAATGTCGTACCTGGGTACCTGGAGGTAGCAGATGCCCTGCTCTTGAGCGCACAGCCCTAGAGTGGACACTGGGTGGTACAGGTGGCCGCTGGAGATGAGTTTCGGGGTCCCTTCCAAAACTAACAGTCAATACCAACAGTCCAGAGCGTTATCATTTATGCTGGTAGACTAGGGGAATCAGAAAGCACAGGGCGGTGGAGAGGGTCCCCAGCCGGGAGTCAGTCCTGAGCGCGCTCGGACTTACTCGGGTAGCGGTAGTAGAACTCGTTCTCCAGGTCGCTGGAGATGTTCCTGCGCTTCTTTTCCTCCCACCAGCTGGCGTCGGCGTCGGGATCGTAGCGCACGAACACGCCGAAGAGGACCACCATGGCCACCTGCAGCAGCAGGCAGGCCAGCGGCAGCCGCCAGCGGAGGTTGGTGTTCCAGGCCATGCTATGAGTGCACCGGCAGCCCGGGCGGGCGGCGAGGCTTATATAGGAGCACGGGGCGGGGCAGCCGCTGGGGCCGCCTTCGCGCACAACCGGGCACCGGGCGCGCCGAGCAGAGGGCCCGCAGCTCCCGCAGGGATGGGGCAACGCGAGCGGGCTGGAAAGGCCAGCAGGCAGCGGGCAGCGAGCCCCAACTCCTGGGGGGTCTCAGGGACACCTGCCCCTTCCCCTTGGGTTCTGGGGAACAGAGAAAGAAAGGGGTGAGGGGTCGTCTGAGGGCATCCATGGGTTCCTGCCGAGATCTGAATAAAGAAATTCGCAGGCATGAATCATGATCACTGTTGCTTTCTTTTTCAGAGTATCAAATTCATACAGGACACAGGGATAGAAGTTGGGAGTTTAGTTCACAGTGACAACTCATGTCCTTTTCTTAGTTGGGACAATACCCTGGGTGGGTAAGATGCCAATTAAAAGGCATACTGGAAGTCTCTGTGCCAACCTTGCAATTTTTCTGTAAGTCTAAAACTATTCCAAAATAAAAAGGATACTAAGAAAAAAAATCGATAAAGGATTGTAAGGACAGTTTCAGAGTTTATCACATGTTCATTGAACTATCATTGGAAATTATCTTTAGGTTAATATGTGTTCTTCACATGAATGAACCATAAATTTAAATCTATGCCTACTTCGTATTTTGTCAAAGTTAATTTGATTTTCTTTTTTTTCTTTTTTTCTTTTTTTTTTTTGGTACTGGGGATTGAACTCAGGCCCTTATGCTTTCGAGGCAGGCAGTGGAACCACTGAGCTAAATCCCCAGCCTTTGATTTTCTAACTTTTCTAATATTATAGAGATTTTGGAAAATACAGAAATGCACAAAGAAGAAAGTAAAAACCAACTGTAACCCCAACACCCAGAAGGAGGAACACTGACATTTTGGGGTCTGTCTAGTCTTTTAGTTTGTTAGGGGCTGGGAAAACTTCAGGCGAGGGCTTTGATCTATAATACCGATTCATAGCCTGCTTCACTCAATATTTTGCAAACATCTCCCCATATTGCTTTTCTACAAAAACATTTGTAACAGCAGGATAGTACCATGCTTTATCTAGCCAATATCCTAGTGTTAGACAATGAGATGGCTTTTTATTTGTTTAACAGTCATAACATGCAGGTACAAAAGCCTTTGCCTGTGTTTCCATGAATTCCTAGAGGCAAGATGGTTTTAGGGTGCAGGGGGCTGCAGCTAGAGGAGGCAGGACCAATGGGATGGTCCTGGGCCCTTTATCCACTTTCTTCTATTTCCATATGGGTGGATTCCCCCAGAAAGGTTTTACCCTACAAAGCACACATCCATGATCAGAGGAAAGGGGCCTCTCCCAGGAACCCTCATCAGTGCTTGGCTTTAAAACATCTTTGCCAATTGAATTCCAGATTTGTAAAAGTCACTAATGCCACATATAACACCTGAGGCAGAGCACCCAGTCTGGGTGGCTCCACTGTGCTGGTATAGTGCACCATCGTGTCCTACCCCCTTGGCAGAGAAACAGCCTGTTTTAAGACAGCGTCAGATGCCACATGAGTATTACCAGCAGTAGGGGCCGTTCAAGAGGTGCTTGCTGTGGACAGACCCTGTCAATGTATTCTTTGTTTCTCAGCTAAACACAGGATGGCGATTGTAGCTACAGCCTGCAGATGAAAAAACGGACTCCTCAGCTGATCCCAGAAACTTGCTAGGTACTCAAACCCTGGGCTGTCTGATTTCAAAGGCTGTCATCTTTCCACCATACCATGCCTGTCCCCTCCAGCCAGGGCCAGAAAGAGGTTTTAATTCAAATGTGTGCCTTCTCTACTGGAGACAGACATCTAAAGTATGACAGTGGGAGTCCATGGAGGGCAGGGACACAAGGGCAGGGGAGGCTGCTGCATGTAGCTCGATGGGCCTCTGGGTCCCATGGCGTCACAGGAGAGTTATAGGGGAGGGAAGCTGCAATGGCACAGTCCCTGAGACCTGGTCTGGGAGGGGAGGCGGCCACCTTAAGGACAAGAAGCAGGGATGTCAAGCTCCTTGGAAGAACATCAGGCCAGCCCATCAGGCCACACCTCAGGGAGGCCCAAGGGAGTCCTGACGGAGTTGGGGACTGCAGCTGGGGGAGGCAGGGCTGGGGGGATGGCCCTGTGCCTTTTCTCCACATTCTCTTGCCCCAGTCTCTACATCCTCCATCCCTCTTCCTTCCCAGCACTATTGCCCTGGCCTTGCCTTCCTTGTTTATCTGCCCAGGATCTGTCTCCCTACAGCAGAATGTCAGCCCTCAAGAGCAAGAGCACCTCGAAGAGAACCTAGATTCAGGTAGTTGCTCATTAATTATTTTTCCAAATGAATGGGGTGAATGCTTTCTATTTCTCTTGCTAATTAAAGCATGCACAGCTCAGTATTAGGAGTAGGTGGCTGTACAAAGACACCCTCCCCCTGCACTGTGGATACTTCAGAAGGGAAGCCAAGGTAGTTATGCAGAACAGGCCTTTTCCTGTGGAGTTGAGGGAAGCTTGTTGAGCCCTGGGGTGATCAGGGTGGGCTTCAGGGAAGAGGTGAATTTTCATCTAGGATTTGCAGGGTGGATAAGAGATTGGCCTTTTCCCTCTCTGCCCTTGGCTTTTCTTGTCCCGTGCACCCCTGGCAGGTGATTCTAGGCCTCTTCCCATATCCCTACCCTGGCTTCCAGCTTAGTACTAGACAAATGGGAATTCTAGGTTGACCTTTGAGACCAGGGTTTAAGAAATCCACTGCTTGAGTCCATCAGGCCCACCCAGGGTTTACCTTAAGAACCAGAAACTTCCTCCTAAAATTCAGATCCCTTGATGAGCAGGAATGACTAGACAGGATGGGTCTTGCCACAGCTGGGGAGAGGCCAGGTGTAGCAGTCATGGTGGCTGTGGGAGGGAGGACATAATCAGGGTGCTTGGGTGGGGGTTCTGACTGAAGCGAGCCTCCCTGCTGCAGGTGTGGCTGTGTGTGAGAGATGCAGCATGGGTCACTACTGTCACTCTTCCCTGCCCTTCCTCGGGGCAGATCAGAGCAGCACTCATGACACTTTCCACCCAGGTCACATCAGAGCCTGAGTGTGTGGCAAGAGCGATGGGCTGGGAATCAGGAGCTCTCGGTGCTGGTCACAGTTCCATGGTTGATTGGAATGCACAACCTCACTGCGTCTTATTTGCTCTTTCTGCAGCCGGCCCCTCCATGACAGCCCTGCACAGCTTCCTGGTTTGTTGTGGCCCTCAAAGGAGGCCACACTGCTTGGTGATGAGCACCTTGATCCAGAGGTTTAATAGGGCTCTGGTGGAAGTCCCAGCCCTGTTACTTCCTGCTGGACAACCTCAGGCAAGTTGCTAAGCTCTGGAGTCTCTTTCCCCATCCATACAATAAGGGTGGCAGTAGTATATGAGATGACTCTGGTGCTTGGGTGCTTTCTTTATTTTGTCTTGTTTTGTTTTGTCCCCACACCCTACACACACACACACACACACACACACACACACACACAGAGGAATTGAACCCTTTTCCCTGAGCTATATTCCCACCCCTTTTTATTTTTTCTGTTTTGAGACAAGGTTTTGTTAAATTACTAAATTTCCCAGGCTGGGCTCAAACTTGGTGATCCTCCTGCTTCAGCCTTCCAGGGTGCTGGGATTATGAGAGTACATCTCCGCACCCAGCTGCATGGGATGCTCTTAACAGAGCCTGGCAGTATGTACCCCATGAGGCAGCCACTCTTACTTACGTGTGATGAGGAGCAGCAGGACTGGGAAGACTCTGACCATCTCTTGTCCCTTGCAGTCCCTCAAAGCCAAGTGTGCCAGCTGCCCACACCCATGGGAGTCTCCAGGGTGGGTGGCCCTGGGAGCAAGCAGAAGCTCTGCGAAGCTCTCTCCTCCAGGACAGCTGGTGGGATCCAGGGTCCCAGCGACAGGAAATTCCACTCAGTCTGTCCTGAAAGACGCAGAGTCTCTCCTGTGCTCTTCCTGCCATGCTCTGGATTGAACCATGCAGAGGGCGCAAGGTGGACCAACTTCAGTTAAAGAACCATCTCCAAAACAACCAGTCTGGATCCCTAGGAAAACAGAGGTATCTGCAGAGACATGACAAGTACATGGAATGCTTGGCTTGATTCTTTTAGGGGGGTTGTTTTTTTGAGGCAGGGTCTCCCTTTGTAGTCCTTGCAGGCCCTGAACTTACTATGTAGCCCGGGCTGCCCTCCAACTTGCAGCAATCCTCCTGCCTCAGCCTCCAGAGTGCTGGGATTACAGATGTGCACCACCATGCCCAGCTCAGCTCTTTTTTTTTTTTTTTTTGGTACTGGGGATTGAACTATTCTTTTACTATTATTTTTAAATGAAATAATAAAACTCATTATAATTAAAAATAAAAACTCTTGTTTTAATTTTTTTTTTTTTTTGGTACCAGGGATCGAACTTGGGTCCTTGAGCTTATGAGGCAGGTGCCAGAACCACTGAGCCAAATCCCCAGTTAAAAATAAAAACTCTTAAAGGAAAAAAACCTATAGGAACATATCCAAAATGTTATTAAGATTAGCATCAGGGCCGGGGATTTAGCTCAGTGGTTTCACCACCTGCTGTGCAAGCGGCAAGGACCCAAGTTCGATCCCCGGTACCAAAAAAAAAAAAAAAAAAAAGATTAGCATCTGGGTATAGTGGCACATGTCTGTAATCCCAGCTACTCGGGAGGCTGAGGCAGGAGGATGGCCAGTTTAAGGACAGCCTGGGAAATTTAGTGAGAACTTGTCTCAAAATAAAATGGGCTTGGGGTGTAGCTCAGTGGTGGAACACTTGTGTAGCGTGCATGAGGCCCTGGGTTCAATTCTCAGTTGTGGGGGAAAAGATAGCATCAAGTGCAGTGAGGAGTAGGTGGGTAGATCTTCTTCACGTGACACCTGTAGAGCCCTTGAGATTCTGAGTTGGGGACAATTTTTCCCTTGTCAAAACAAAACACCAGGGTTTGGAGGAGACAAGGC